TTTCATCGGCGTTTACTTGTTGAATGAATAATTTGGTGAGATGACTCGGTGGATGACTGTGCTAGATTATGACAGTATTACTTTTAGTTCTTAAGGTAACATTTTTGAATCTGTATCTTCCTTTGGGATGAAACCTTTAGCAGGTTGGTTTGAAAAACGACTGCGGTTAGCTGTCGATGTTCTTTTGAGCCCTGAGAGTGAAGTGGGTTCACTTTTGTTTTTGCGAGGGATGGATCCTTCGGTGTTATGGATGGATAACTTGAATAACTTGTGAGCGTCGTTTTGAACGACGAGGATGAAGATTTTTCACTTTCGTGTTGGTTGAATCCTTCGGTTAAAAGGTTCGAAGGACGTGTTCAGTTAATTGTGAGAGTTCTTTTGAGCACTAGCAGTGAGCTGTTTTGATTATTGTTTCGTGTGGGTTGAATCCTTCGGTTTGAGGGTTCAGTGGGCGACTTCATGGAATTGTGCGTGTTGTTCAGTAAACTACGAGGGCCTTTCACTTGTGTATGCTTTTGTGTTGGTTTAACCCTTGAGCTAAATGGTTTAAAGGACTACTGCAGTTGATTTTGTAGGCATCGAAGATGCAATTTTTTCTTCCTTGTTTGTCAGAGTGATGAATCATGTGTTGGGATGGTTTGAAGGACAACTTCATTGGATTGTGGATGTTGATTTAAAAAACGGGGATAAAGAATTTTTATTCAGTCCTGTTGGTTGAACCTTTTTACTGAATTGTTCGTAGGATGACTGCGGTTATAATTTTGGTAGTTCTTGTCAGCACTGAGGGTGAAGTATTTTCACCTTGTATTTAGGATAAATCCTCTGGTAATATGGTTCGATGGACAACCTCAGCGAATTACGAGTGTCATTTTGAGCAACGAGAGTGAATATTTTTCACTTGCACTTTCTCTTGGGTTTCAAATCCTTGAGCCAAATGGTTTGAAAGACGACGACAGTTGAGCGTGAGAGTTCTCGAAGCGGTTAGGGGCGAATTTTTTTCTCCTTTGCTTTTCCGTAGCAGGATGAATTCTTGGGTGGAATAGCTCATTGAACAGTGTTTTGTCTGGGGCGTTTGACAAACATTTTTTGCGACTTGCTAGTGAATTTGAATTTTACATATTTAAGTTGTTCTTAGAGAAGAGAAGTTCTAGGTAGAAAACACCATCTCTGAGCTCCATTTCCTATTCTGTTGATGTCAGTTAGTGGCAAAAGGCATCGCGCGAGTTTGAACTGGCGACGGATTCTAGTTGTATCTTTGCTACGATACATTTTGGGAGTTTCAGCTAAATTAAGCAGATGCCCTATCAGCGCAATTTGTACATGTTTATAGTCAATTGAATTAAATCTGGTGCATGGAACAGTTGTCGATGTTTATTGGAAGTCGTTTGATCCTAAAATCGACGATTGGATTCGATTTGCTTGTTGTAACAATAAAATAGTAATTGTAAAGTCATTGAAAGCATTGTACTGACGAGATAAGCCCTCCTTTATTCTTCCTTATGAAATCTCTCCTTTGAACTACAGTCATATAATGCTATCTGAACATTTGCGTACAGGTCACTTAAAGTGTATACTAGATTTCAAAAGTTGCCTTATAAATTTCTTGATATTTTCTTTTAAACTTTAATGGGAGGCTTTATTTTTTGTTAGTAACGATAATTGCTAACATCGATCAAGAAAAATAGCTAAAACTTACCTTTAAATAATTTCTTTTAAAAGTAGGAGATATTAGGGATACTTAAGTCTAAGGGAACAAAGCGCATGGTTCATTTGACGTCTTGCCGAACGTCCTTTTTTAGCCAATTATTTATTAAAATGTTAGATAAAGATTTCAATAGGCCTGCAAAACGTTGTAAAATTACAAGTTTTGAAATTGTTATCTTTTTCGCTCTTGATATGTGCTCTAAACCTATATTTTGCTTAAAAAGGTTGCTCAGAAAGACAAAACTTGCTCGCAGTTGCTTGAACCGCGAAATGTTGCTCCAAACGCCAAAAGATACTTAAAAGTTGCCAAGCACAATCATGCAGGACAGGCCTAATATCGACTCCTTAAGCGACTTCTCTGAATAGCCATTTTGCGTGATATTGCTTTTACCCTCTGCACCCTAACGTTAATGATCGCATTCTCTTCACTTCTCATTTTCTATGGTAATGACAAGGAGAACTTGTTTGACAATTAGGAGCTTTTTAAATTAGAAAGAATTTCCTTCATCCTCAAGCCGTTTAAATTTGATTTAAGGGTGATATTGTAAGGGTTTAAAGGTCCTTAGTCTTTGTATTATTTATTTGCAGGCGAAAAGAGTGATACACCACCTACTATGCGAAGAAACAGTTTGAACCCAGGTCTCCATCCGTCTAGGGCTACAGGACCGCCAACAGCACCTACTGTCTCGGCTGCACGAGGACAGGTCGCCCTACTCAAACAGATACTTGGGATTGTGATGCCTGTGTCCTTTTTCGTTGGCATTGCGGTTGGAATAATCATTTTAGATTGGAAACGACGCCTTTGTCCTTCAAGAGTGGCGGCGTCTTTTGACAACTCGCCGAGTTCAAACAGTAACGATTTTGAAACTCATCAAGTAACTGAGTCCTCTTGTATCTCTCACCCCCTCTAGGGTTGAGTTGGATGGGAGGGGAGAGTAGAAAACCATTTTACTGTCATTTGCGCGAGAAGTGATGGTCTATTTGAGATGTGATCCAACTTGGATGAAATCGAGACAGCCATAAACAGGATGGACGCTTTTGATCAGATGAAGAAGAAGAAGAAGGAGGAAGAGGAGAAGAGGACGATAGAAGAAAATTAATTTAATTAAAAGTTCATATAATAATATGTAACCTTTTGTATCGTATCACATATTGATGGACTTAAAACTAAACTTATAACTATATTCACAAAGGAGCTTACACGTGTTTTAAAGCTGTTTCGTTAAACAAGGAGTTTGAATCTTGTTTATTAAATCAGCTTTCTTACATTGACTTTAAGGAGAACTGTGATCAAGCAGTTGTAGAAATGCATACAGAATATTGCCGATTTTAATCAACGCACTTTCCCGGCAAAAGAAAATGTTTATTTTCTCACGACAAGGTAAAACGCAAAAATTTTCAACGTCGACTAATAGAGTCTGCATGTGAACCAAGAATCTATTTCAGCCGAGCTCATTCGGGTCTTTAAGAAGAAACGACGAACAGTACTCCCAATAGTCAAAATGTTAGTCCTGCTGATTATTTCAATAAATTCATCGTCTTGTCTCCTCTCTTGTTTCACGCGATATGTGTGTCGATAATAAATAAATTGGTGTCGCAAGTATTTTTCTTTACCTAGTTGTCGAAAAAGTTCAGATTGGGAAAATTGGACAAGAGACAGAAGTGAGAGCGAAAAAGCAAACGCAGCGCGGGTCACCAAGTTTGCGCATGAAAATTTAAAGTAACACAAGTTAGAAAGGTTAAATTATTTCACTCTTAGAATGATAACTTTTTTATTAACCGAGTTGGAGACCCATAATTTTTGTTACAGACTGAGCTATTTGTTTTAAAATAATAGAGGGAAGAGCAGTACAAGTCAATTACCGAACGAAGCGGGAGAACGAGGTCAACACTTTGACCCCTAGAGTGACTAAAGGACACAGTAAGACCACGGAAATGAAAGACAACTTAAGAAGCTTTTACAATTGATTTTTAAACAAATTTTCCCTGTGAGCACCTCAGGAAATGTATGGAGAACATTATTGAGGATATGAATACTGATGTTAGGGTGTAAAGGTTTAATAATATAACAAGGAAAAAATGTCTAATTGGGAATCAAAACCGTGACAAGAATGAAGGCAAATTCGAAATCATTGCAGTTGTTCTGCCGTTGGCACGTTTTAACACGATATCTCATTTCTCAGGAAGGTTGATAACAATTGCTGTTGATTAAATGGGACATTTGGTGATAAAAGAAGTGTTTGAATTTCACAGGTTTCCCCGCACAGAACGGCCCGCTGAATCTGTTAGGCGCGTGTACTAAAAACCTATCTCAATTCAAATTCTAACTATGCCCGTTTGTTCTGTCATCAGAGAGTGGCGGCGTTCGCGTGACATTCGAAGTGAGTGGCTGTGGTTAAGATACTCAAGTTGAAAATGCGCTCGATCTTTGCAATTTACTTGGAGGACCGTGGGAAAACTTTGGCTGCAATAACAATAAGGATGTGAGTGCCCTGCACGTAATTGCCCTGCACGTGCCACGTGCCACGTACGGAGCAAAGTTTATTCGTTTACAAGATGTGCTCTGCAAAACAACAATATAAGGGGTTAAAATTAAAAGTTGTGTGAGGACGGGAACAATGACGGCAAATTATTCACGTTTCTATTTGGAATTCAACACTGCCTTCACGCGTTATGCTGAAGAGGAGAACTGGCGCCCTTAGAGAAGGTAAAAATATCAAAGCATTCGGGTAATTCCTAAAAAAAATATTAATTTTATGTTACAGTCAACTTTTTAATTGGTATCACAGCTGTGTTTGCTTTAGGTCTCCTATGTTGAGAATAGAAGCGCAAACGAGTGCAGTATGCGTGAAATATGCTTCACACATTTCATCATCAGAAAATCGAACATTCCGTTGGAAAACACTAGATTCTATTCTTGACCATCAGATTCCATCGCACTCCGGTGGAAGAATAACCATATGTGGAAAACATATTATCAGTCAATTGACTACCGGTGTATTTAGTCCTTAGCACTTCAACTGTTATATTTCTAATTTTAGCGATCAGTTTTCTGGTGGAAAGTTAAGTTTATTCTAACCGTGTGTATTGGAAAACTGTCAAATAATTTAGGGCTATAAGATCGAGCATAGCTAAGGTTTCCTACCAGACATGATTTATATTTTGAGATCGCAATGAGTCTGTAGTCTTTTTACAAATCGCTAATGTATAGCTCGCACCCCAGTTTTGAGAGGTCATTTTCTATACTTAGAAATCAGTCAGTCACGGAAAACACGACGCCGCGTTTAACAGGAAGTTATACCGAGCATATTTGTATCTTTCGAGCCCTAACCGTGTCACCATCACAATACCGCTAGATGATGACGAAGTTAACGGAAAATTTTCAGTTTCGCTTTCGTCTCAAAGCTTAAAAGCAAGTTCAACTCGCACGCAGCATATTATTTATCACTGTTGATCTCAATACTTCCAATACAAATTGTCTGTGACAGAATGCACTGGCGCACTAAGGCGCAGTCTTACGGCACCGCTGATGTATTCTTCGGTAAGTCAGTCTTTTGGCTTTTTTATTTTTTCCATGAAGACAGGCAAATACACGTATGAAGTATTTACGAAGTGGATTAGACGGTGGAGGGTTCCCCTCAAATTGGGTGCTATCGCTGGCGTAAGCGCCTGATGACATTGCTATCTAATTTCATTCTTGTGCTCAAGAAACGAGCTACAATGCTCGGACGTGACCAAAGTAAGTTCGACTACAAATTAAGTTGTTCTATATTGTATTGACCCAGAACATTGTTGATGTTAAAAAGTGTCCCCAGGTATTCGAGTTCATTGTCGTGTTAGACTACAGCTTTACATTTCTTTTACCCTTATTTGCACTTCTCATCAAAACGTGAGCCGTTCTTAACTGACTCACAGCCTAGGGGTGTTCTCATTAGGTTCTTAAAACTTTGATTAATCTAAGCCTTATAAAGACAGCTTAAAGGTTGATTGGTTGTCGTAATAAATTGGATTCTTTCTTTTTGCTTTTGCTCATGCAGCTATGGAAACATCCTTGTAAACTAGCTATCACTAAAAACTTTCTCGGTCATGCTTTATAACTCAGAGGCTATGCATACCCCAGCTGATTTGCAAATTTCAGACTTCGTTATCATAATTCATTAATTTTAATGTTCTGAATTGACTCATTCCTAGGTATGGCGTTCATCACTGCACTTCTACATGAATCCATCCGTACTAATGGTGAGCCTTGTTTATTTAAATTATTTTCACTTATGCTTTACATGACCCACTTCCGCTTTAAAACTATCCGCTTTCTGTTGCTTCTAGTGGATGTTCCGTGTTAGATCACAGCCGACTTCTAATTGCAAAGATCTCCTTAAATTTCGTAAACAAGTGGTTTTCCCTTCAATTTCGTCGGATATTGTACCAGAACAATGGCTCTAAATAATTAAAGATCGGAGTACATGCCACGTAACGCCTTCACTAAGGACCGGGTGTAATGCCTGACTTGCGAATTTGCTAAGTATGATCAACTCTCTTTCGATCGACCACCCTTATCGTAGAAAAATGGAAAAAAAGAAAAATCAAAACAAAACCAGCAAGCCGCAGACTGATAAATTCCGCAGATCATCACATCATCATATCTCATCAGTCAAATTGGTGCAAATAAACAAAATCAAAGTCCCTCTGAGAAAACTTATCCCAAGCGAGCTGAAACTCTTCAGAACGGCGCCTAGTGCCATTAATTCTTGTTTTTTTTACTAATATTATTTTGTGACAATAATGTTTGCTATTCGACATATGTTCCTCATTAAACCTTAAAATCATTCTATCAATAAACACTTCTAATCACATTGTCAAACGATTGGGATGTTGCATATTAAATTTCTTTTAAGCGGCGCAAAGATTTAACCCCATCTTGTGGATGGTCACTCATCGGTGACACGAAAACAAAATAATTATTTCAAATTTCTGTTCACTAAAGCGGGTGCGGACGCTCAAAATACTTAAATAGTGGTCGCTTAAGAAAGAGGTTTTGGAACAGTATCTGACTGACAAACAAAGGGATCACAAAGTGGTCGCTTAAGAGAAGAAGTCGATGACGCAAGTGGTCATTAAATATAATTGGTCGTATTCAATCTTCATCCCTATCATTATAATCTCATATCAGCATTAACCCTCTTAACCCTCAAAATATAACTCCTGAATCAAACATTAAGGTCACGAAAATAAAGGAAACAGTCATCAACCAAATTAGCTCTTGATTGTTAAACAACTTCTCCTTCAGAAACTTGAAAATATATCGGGAACAGTATGGAGAATATATCCGCTGATGTTAGGATGTAGAGGGTAAATCGAAACCTTGAAAATTGCATTATCTATCGCTATTGTACCTGAGACTGTGGCAAATAAACGAGGTCAATTTTCTTTATCCTCTTCGCGTTGGAACGTTTTTTTAAAACTGATATAATTTCTGTTACCTTCAGGAACTGAAACAAAGGAGTTTTGTTATGATACTCCCTTCAACGTAACCTGCGAGATTCTTAAAGGGGCATATGGAACAGTTGACTTTGTCCAATGGAAAGCATATGACCCGAGAAGGAGTCATTGGGCTTTGTTCGGATACTGTAACAGGGAAATGAGGTGTGAAATTAAGAGAGCACTGTTATCTAATGGAATCCAAGTTTTGCAAGTCGTGAAAGCCACCATAACTCTACAAGTATCATCAAAGACCAGTACAGACAATCAGAGCCGATTACGCTGTAGAGTTGATTTCGAGGGTCACACGCCCCTACCCCACGAAGTGACAATCAACTTTGTTTATTGTAAGTTGAACGCCTGTGATTTTATGCTTTTGAGATAACAAGGCAGCGTACCATGTAACAACACTAAAGATATATGTGTATATATCTAAAACATCATCGTAAGGATCGGTCAATATTTACGAAGGGGGGAGAGGATGGGGGTCGGAGAGTTTTGGTTGTGTAACAGTAAAATTTACCTGATCTCCCATAAGGCTTTGTAAAATTCTAAAGCCCTCCCCCCCTCCGCCTCATCGGCAGTTAATAGGCAGTCAACTTTCTATACCCCCCCCCCTTTATACTCTATTGACGACAGCTGATCCCCTTCTGCTTTCCCTGAAAACCATGTAATATTCCTTAAAATCTTCCAACCCCCCCTCCCCCCCTCGCTTCTCCTATAACTTCGACTCTTTCTGGTTATTTTTTTTTTCAAACCATAAACTGCCGGCATTGGTTTTTTACCCTTAAACTACCGGCATTGGTTAGTTTCGAGGCTCAACTGTTTAATTTGTCGTTCTTCTACAATTCATCTTTAATTCCTTTTTTTAAAGCTGTTGTAAACCGTTTATTTTAGCGCCTCTTGATCAACTTCAGCACAAATAACCGATCGTGTTCCGCATTGTTAGAGGAGGCGGAGCTAGAGAAAATTAACATACCCGCGGAAGTTTTAAAAAGGGGCCCCCCGGAGCCCATGGAAGACAAAGCTAGCGGAAAAGCCGAGGCAATGGGCGAAATTTCCAGAAAATCACGGTTTAATATAACTTCCACTCTATGCAATCTCCCAAAATTTTCCATAAGGTTTCCCTAACAATCAAGTTAAAATCACCGTATGGTAAAACAGCAAAAGAGTTTCTTCACAGAATTATGTCCATAAGTAGGCAAAGGGCTGTTTCCCATACTAGCAATATATAAAAAAAGTGAGTTTTTATACCCGTTTTGATATGTCTTCTGGACGTCCTAAAGCAACAGCAAAGAAGGTACAGGGGGCCCCTATAATGTCTCTTCTTCGAAATCCATATGGTACAAGTGGTTTATTCAAAGCGATTTTAGTGAAAACAAGAAAAACATGCACCCCTCTCGTGATTTTCGGGCCATTTTCTCTATTGTGTGGCGCGCGTTCCGCCAATCCAGTTTCAAATTTATCGCTGGTGAGTCCTTAAAAGTTGCGGATATGTCGCGGCATTCTGCGCAATGACCAGAAGTGATTAACCGTGTAACTGATCTCCCTATAATATCGATACATTAACCAGTATAGGGGTGTTGAGAATACTCAAACTTATCAGGTAGAAGTTAATTTAGTGTTAACTGAGTTGAAAAAGTAAATTATCCACCTTAAAGGGTAAAAAAGTTGACGTTTCAAGCGTTAACCCTTCGATAATCGCTCTGGCGAAGGGCTAACGCTCGAAACGTCAGCTTTTTTGCCCTTTACGGTGGCTAATTTACGTTTTCAACTCAGTTGTTAACACTAAATTACCTGTTATACTCTCCCACCGACGCAGCACCACAGTTTCTTCATAAACTTACCCCTTTATCAGGTAGAAGTTGTTATCTTCATTTAACACCAAATTCTCGTAACTCATTCCCAAGGTAATGTGTAGCAGCAAGAGGGGAGAATAAACAATCAGATCTTGTGAGTTAAAGGGTTTAAAGACTGATAGGTTAAGCCAGGAAAGAAGATAGACCGACGTGAATTAACTGAAATAACTTTCATTGAGGCTACATGGTAGCATACCCCCATGCAAGAGTTAAGAGTTTTTAATCATACAATTTTATTGCCGCTCCGTGTCGTTTCTTTCGTACCACAGGAATAAATAGTTCAGGATAGCGTGGTTCAAGAAAGCTGGTTTCTAGTAACATTTGTTGTTGAGAATAAAATATTCGCGCTTACCTTTTATCTTCCATTTTTCATCTTTTTCAAGGCATCACTGCTCACAAAACAGATGGTGAAGTGAACCTGTCTAAGTTCTTAGAAAGCGTAATACCTTGGAAGGAAGTTGACGACGTTCGCCTCTTCGACATTGAAGGAATCGAGTTTGCCTATTGTAAAAGCAAAGTTTGCGCAAGAAACAAGAGCGGTCCGCTTTCTGTTCTCTGGAACAGAACGACAGTCCAAAGTGGGTCACTGTTCCTGACTGGAATTGAGGAAAGTGATAGCGGTCTTAGGATGAAGGCGAAGACAGTCTCGGCTACGTCAACGCGTCTTTACACCATAAAAGTCCTCGTCAACAGTTCTCAAGGTAATCGATTCACTTTATTGAATGTTAAGATGCGTATTATTGACAAGCACTATTACACTATTAGCGTCATGCTACTGCTATAAGGATCATTCTCAAATAGGCACGCCATCAAGACTGGGTTCTTCCACTCTCGGTTTTACCCCTTTAATTTGTTTTCTTGCAGGCCGAAATAGTCTTACACCCACTGCCTTGCCCATCACAGGAACAGCCAATTCCAGCCCGGGTTCCCCCTCTTCCGGACCTACGGGATCTCCATCTGAGAGCTTTGCCGGCCATCCAACCAAGAGCATTGTAGGATCTCCATCCAAGAGCGCCGCAGCATCTGCAACCCAACGCATTGTTCGTGCAATAGTTACCATTTTTCTTGCAGTTTTGGTTCCTGTAATTTTTATTTGGTGGCGTCTTAGATGGAATGGACCGTGAAGCCTTAAAAAGAACCTGGCGCATAGGTCCACAGTTAAGCCCTCGGGCGAGAAATGTATGCCAGATGAAGAGGTTCGTTGTGTATTGTCCCTGTCATCTCTTTCCCTTCCTACCCTACCTAAGGTCTCAATCAAAATTTTAGGTGGGATGGGAGGGAGAGAAGAGGACGGGACCACATAGCCCTTGTTGGAGGACTGGTTCCTTATTTAGCATCTGACTCCATTGGGAGCCTTGAGCAGTAAGGACGGCGACGCCCAGCAATCGTCGCTTAAGATATCAACTTAAATTTCTCTAAAAATTTTACTGAATGGCTTCATGTTTTCCGTCACCAGATCTTCTCTTCAACTTAACACTCAAAGGCAATGTTGAGTTTCAAATGGAAACATGAACAATTTGATGTTGTTGGTTCCACACTCACACTTCTCCAAATTTAATGGTTTTGCTTTGTTTGTCTAGCCTAAGACGTTTTGTTAATGAACAATGTTTTGCCCCGCACGTTTCGAAGTAACGGAAGTGTGCAAAGCAGTTGGGTAAACATACATGAGTGTTAGACAAGCTGTAATCAATAGTGTTTTACAATGGAGATACTGACTTTCTTCTAAAATGTTCTAAGAATGATCATTGCTTTCTCAAAGAAGTTAACACGAGTACAAGTCAAAATTTTGTGAAGTTATCCGGAATAGTTATTTAAACTGTTGTATATAAATTGTTTTCAAAAGATCAACGAACCATTTGTGGACCACTGCTGGTGTTTTGTGTAAATAATTATGTGAATGTATGTATATGTTGTAAGTTTGTGCGTCTGGAAAGGTGTGTTCTGAAAATACAACTAAAGGTGTGCTTTGTTACACATCTAGAAGTGTGACAAAACCGGTCAATATTTACGAAGGGGGGAGAGGATGGGGGTCGGAGGAGTTTGACTGTTTAACGGTAAAATTTACCTGATCCCTCAAAAGGCTCTGTAAAATTTTTATGCCTGTCAATTTTCTATACCTCCCTCATACTCTATTGGCGACAACTGATCCCCTTCCGCTCCCCCTGAAAACCATGTGATACTCCTCAAAATTTTTTGATCCCCTCCCCCCCTCACGCAATGAAGAATGACTGATCTCCTTATGCTCTTTCCGTCCTTTTTTTTAACCCTTTAACTCTCGGAAGTGATCAACATGTAACTTCTCCCTATTATATCCATGCATCATCCAGCAGAGGTATTGAGAATACTCGCTCTTATCAGGTAGAAGTTGTTGTCTTGATCTAACACCAAATCCTCGTAACTCATTCCCAAAACATTGTAAAGTTGTCTTATAGGAGAATAAACAATCAGATCTTGGAAGTTATAGGGCTAAAAGACTGATAGGTTAAGCCAGAAAAGAAGATAGACCGACATTGGGGGAGGGGGAGGGTACGGCTACAAGTAGGGTACGGCAAAGCATGGAACATTGCCAGGGTTTCTTTATCAACACCACCTCGAAGTTGGTGACCAAGTTACAGGCCACACGTGACTGATTGATTCAACATTCCAATAGAATCTCCAAACTTTCAGGTCTTAGTTCGCAAATGGAAATGTTAGATTAGGGATTTTCAATGAAACTTTCCAGAGCTATAGCTTTTTGCGACTGCAAAATTGCAATCCTATAGAGGACTTTTGTGCGAATTTCCTTAATTTGACTAGGCTCCATTACCAGCTGCTGAGTCCGCAGAGAGCACGCTCGAGGTCCTCGAGAGAGCACGCTGTTAATTTAAGCAGATACTAGAAGATACGAATGCCAAGTCCATGGCATTCATAAATCCTGTAATAAAATTAGAGTAGTTTACTCAGTATGCTCCACTTGTCACCACTGTATCAGATCGATCAGAGTTTTAATAACTGGGATGTGAAAATGTATTGGCTTTGACAGTTTTGCATGCGGTATCGGTTTTGATCTAATTCAAGTATATTTGTTACATTTGCATATTTGAGCGGTCGAACGAAAAAAATAATTTCTCGAAAACTAAAATACATTTTCACAAAAAAACTACACCACAATTATCAGGACATATTGGGCTACAAACTATGAAAGTTTTGAGTGACTTGCTGCCGTTTGTCTGATGCAAGCTGATATTAGCTCTTGAGTACCGTGTTTATATACACTTTCTCTAACACAACATATGGACCAAGATAAAATCCCTGTGACTCGAACATTATTTCCTACGTATAAATTTACGAGTGAGTGATTTTTGTGAAATCAAACACACTGCTTGAGCAAATTATGTCGAAAAATGTAGCCAGTCAACGCTGGTTGTTTTACCTTTTGTGAAAATGAAAACGGTATCGAGAATATTAGGATATCAAAATTACTGCCTGAGGATATGTTGAAAAATGTTGCTAATACCCTCTGGTTTTTTTTTTACCTTTTCGGAAAATGAAAACGATATCGTGAATATTACGAAATCAAAAACACTGCCTGAGATACGTCAACAAATGCTTAACCTTGGGAAAATGAAAACGATATCGTGAATATCACGAAATCAAAAACGCTGCCTGAGATACGTCAACAAATGCTTAACCTTGGGAAAATGAAAACGATATCGTATCGGGAATATAAGGAAATCAAAAACACTGCCTGAACATATGTCGAAAAATGTAGCTGATTACCTATGGTTGTTTTACCTTTTGTCAAAATAAGAAGAATGTCATGTAGTTTAGTGCCTTGTTATATAGACTTTATAATTTTTCTTTTTTCTTTGCACACGTTCACCTTCGGCTAAGGAATAACTTCTTTATATATTATTTGCTGACTTTGCAATTCCGCTTCCAATTTCATTTTCGATTATGAAGGGGTTTGACGTTCCTTTGAGAGCTGTATATTAACAGAAGAACCAAGTCAGAATCTTCAGTTAAAAATAAAGTGCTGGTCGGTTAGCAAAGTTATTCGAAATTCTTCAGACATGAATGATCCTGATAAAAGTTGCGTGTGGATGATATTAATCCTAACTGTCTTCAGACGTAAGTATCACTTCATAATTTATTACAAGGGAAGTATATTTAGATCACAGTATCAGGAACTTGATTATGCTTTCATCTCCTCCTCCTGCACAAGGATCAATTGCCCTATTCTAGTTATCACTCTTGTACTGAAGCAGCACTCCGCCTCCATTGTTTTATCATTGTCGTTTTGCCTAGCGCATTGGTAATTTATGGTGCCAGAGCCGCGAAATCATGATCGCCGTTTAGCGAAGTTCATGTTTGCGAATGTAGGTTTCGATTTCTTCTCGCAGTTGAAAAAAAGAAAATTATACTTTATGGCATTTTTTGATAACGCATTGATATATTTGCCTACCTTTCCTCAATGAAAGGGACAACGTGAGATTGGAAGAAATATATTTGACTTTTCATGATTGCGCACGATTATCTTGACGTCAACGGCGATGCGAAACAATAATGAACAAGAATAATCGAAATATGGACAAATAGAGTGAAAGAAGATACACACTTACTAATTGGGTGATCATAGACTGTTATGACATATGCTTACAGTTTTTCACACCCCGACCAAGGCATATTCTTGAGGTAAAATGATATTTTTGAGTTGTTGCATTTATGCAGATACGGTTCTTGGTATTATGTATTTGCGAATCGTTAAATATTAATCGGTTAAAATCCCGTCTTTGTCTTTTAGAAAACTTAATTAAAAAAAAATAAACAGTCTTTTGTGCTAAGAAAAGATTCGAAATCTATCAGCGTTAAATATTGAATGGTTAGAATCCCGCCTTTTGGAGTATTAGACGATCATTGAACTTTGAAAAATAAACATTTTTTTGCGTTGAGAAAAATGTCGAAATCCACAAACCTAGGCTGAAATGGAAAGTGCTCTAGTGACAAGGTTGGTCTTCCGGAAAATGAGATAATGAAGAAATTTAAAATGGTTTCCGTGTTTACATAGCCTGATGTAAAAACGCGGGAGGTTGGAGAACACGAGATAAGCGTGGGAAACCATGACGCGAAGCGGAGTGGTTTCCAGCTTATCCCAACCTCCCAAGTGTTTACATCAGGCTATGTAAACACGGAAACCATTTTACATTTCTTTTATAAAATAACTAATGAAAGAGGAACGAAAACCGTGTTTACATAAGCTCATGTAAAATGGTTTTATGGCCAATCAGAGCGCGCGTACTATTTGAATTATTTTATAACGTCCTTTCTTGTTGGTATAACACAGAGTCAAAGCACCAAGGTAAGCCTTTGTCATTAAATTCTGACTTCCAGGCGAGGAATGGGAACCCATAGAGCTCTGATTTCGCATTCTGATGCTCGATCTGTTAATTGAGCCGCATAAAACTCTTTGTTAGTTTTTTTAGTCATTGTTAGGTTCCAGCAAGAGAAAATAATTGGACAGATTCTTTATTTTTGTTTATGTTGTGGCTTTCTTTGCCTCTAGGAACCATAACAGTTGACGTTTGCTTCAAGAAGCCTGAAACTTTAACATGTGGGACTTTACTGAAGCCAAATGGAGTTCATGAGGTCGAATGGAAGGTTTATAATGCGGAAGAAAAGCAATGGAGTTGTTTCTCGTACTGTGGAAAACGGCAAGGGTGTTTGATCAAGGAAAAATTGTTGTCAAACGGCATCACTGTGGAGAACGTCTCAATGGTGGCAGTGACAGTGAAAGCTTCGGCAAAGGACAGCACAAACAAACACAGCCGATTGCTGTGTGAAGTCCACTATAAAGATTTTGTGGCTTATAAAGAAGTGAAGATCAACTTTATTGAGTGTAAGTTCAGCTTTACTCCTTCTCGCGAGAAAACTTATATTGTATATTCTTTCAATGTTACGAATGACCTTCCTTGATGCTAATCATCGTATTCAAGGTCTACTTTGTTTACAAATAGATCTCATGTGGCTGTGCGTCTGTTTAGTATTATATGATTAGCTGAATAACCCTTGACATTTTGAATGATTCTTACAACACTCGATTATTTAACCAAAATATTATACTCTTTTGATTTAACAGCCGTTTCACGGCCCAATACCTTATTGTCATTTTTCGGTTCATTGCTTCAAGCTGCTCACGAACGATTTCTATATATACATTTTGCTGACTTCTCGCTCACGCTTCTAATTTCGTTTTCGATATGGAAGCTCCAATGTTGATGTTTTTGTCTTCCTCTTTTGGAGGAAAGACGCATAGAACATGCTACCATTAACAATATTTTTGCTTTGTTATCATGTAAAGACTATAACATAAATAGATTTTATGTTGCCAAGCGTTAGCTTAGTAACAGATTTCAGATGACGTCAAAATGAAGCAAAAACAAAAAAGTGGCACACGAGGTGCAGCCGAGTGTATCACTGATATTTAAAAATAAATTACAGATGGCGACCAAAGGTGATAAGACCAAAAAAGTCACTAATATTCTTGCTACATGTTAGCACGGAATCTCCGCTCTTTTATTCATTTAAAAAAGAGGCAAATGCTGCCTCTCTGCTCCACTACATCTTCAATGAGAAGCCATCAAAATGTGCGAAGAGTCCAGCTTATCATAAACGCAAGTTTCGATTATTCCGCGACAATGTGATGACAACAAGTGGCTGTTGTACAACTGTCACCACAGCTGTCAATTAAGACCCTTATATTTTGATTCAAAAACAGCACAATCAATAAGCTTATGTAAGGAGAAAAAAAGCATGCAAACCTGTAACTCCCAAGATCTGATCGTAAATTCTCCCTTCTAGCTGTCATACATTTCCTTGTCAATAAGTTAGGATAATTTTGTGTTCAATCAAAAGAACAACTTGTACCTGATAAATTTGAGTATTCTTATTACCTGTTTTCTGAGTAATGTATGGATATTTTGGGGAGAAGTTGCGTGTAAATCTCTTCTGAGAGTTGAAGCCTTACGGTGACTGGACTTGTTTGACTTAAAAACTGAAGTAAATTGCGGCCAAAACCTTGGAATAATCACAAGCCTTCTGGCCAGACACCGATACACACATTGTCTTACTCCCATTTAAAAGAAACATTTTCCTTTTCTTTTTAAGGTATCACGGCTGAGAAAGGGACAGATTTGAACCTTACGAAAGTGTTCCAAGATATGTTACCATGGGAAAATGTCAAAAGCATTTTCATTGAAAATTCTCACGGCAGCAAGCTTGCCTACTGTGACACTGGCGATTGCATTAAAGAGAATGGCGGCGATTTCTTGAACCGATTACAAGTAAAGCGAGGGGCGCTAATTCTCTCGGAAGTCATGGAGAGTGACGATGGATTAAAGTTTAATATCAAGGTTGACTTGAGAACTGGGAATGTCAGAGGAAGCATGGGAACGACACGAGTGTACTCCATTAAGATCTTCGTGTACAGTAAATCAGGTAATTGTTGTTCTAACTTTTGATTGATGGACAGTACCAATTAATCTTTAGCGCAGACTTCTTTCCTCTGGAATCCTTCGAATTTACCCTAGACTCCATCGTTGATGCCCTTATCGAGCAACTTTCGACTGAGTGTCGAAAATAAAACAACAATGGAGTTTATGTTTGCGGGCATCATGATATGTTTTGGGCCTGGGTCTGACTCAGAGCCATTTTCCGACTTGAGCCGCGGGGGAGGGGGGGAGGGGGAGGGAAAGGGGAGGGGACTAAAATGACGTCGTGAGGGGCCCAAAACATTTGAGGCCCAAGAACATAAATGATATTACTATTTTTATTACTTTTGAAGGCATTGAGTTTATAAAACTGAAAGAATTGACAACGAAGCAGTACCAATAATTAAGCAAGCGTGCGAGCGGGCTTAAATACAACTTAGCCCGCCAAAATCTCTGTTTCAGCCAGCAAAATGCACCAAATTACCCAACAAAGTGATGATAATTCGGGATTACAAGGAGTTGGCCCCGCTACTCTCTGTGATTGGTCAAGAGATCTTGTGCCACCTTTTCAACCAATTAGCTGCATACTGAAACCATCTGGTCACTTGCGTTTTCGCGCGCTGCAGGCAGTATATCCGTGTTTTCTATATCACTCAGACTACAACTTAGTTCGATCCATGCAAAAGTTTTAATGTTATAGCAAGAATTTGAGTCAACTTCCATTCTAGCTCAAAACTCTGCTACTTGTCTAGCAGCCTGCTGGCACAAGGGTTCGGTTTCATCCTGGGAAATGCCTTGTCACATTAATAGTACGCGATTGGCGTATAGTCCTTTGAACATGAACAACAAACTAGCTAACTCAGTTACACCGCACAAGGGAAAAATGTCTAACATGATCGATGTCACTGAGTTTACCTCATTATCTTACAATTTCAGGGTCTACAGGTGTACCGCCATCGACACCGCCCTCAACTACAGGATCAAACAGGACAAACCACTCCCCTGTTAAACACGTTGCGTCTCCAACAAGGAGCAGTGCCTCAACGACAGATGGAAATCTGTTGATAATGATCCTGCCCTTCTTGTTTTGATAGCGGTTATTTGTTTATTTGGTTATTTGGTTATTTGTCGAAAGAGGTCAGCGGAAATAGCATCTGCGCAGGTTTAGCATGGTAGTGGCTATTTTGTGCTTCATGCGTCGAAGGAGACCAGCGGAAACAGCATCTGCGCATGTTAAGCGTGGTAGTGGCTATTTTGTGCTTCATGCATCGAAGGAGATCAGCACGGTGAACATAACACCTTCCCAGCATAAATGTAATATCTGACTTTTAAGTGACATGGGAACGAATTAGTCAGAAATTAATATTCTAATGGCACGTCGAAGAGGTTCGCGTGGCATCATGGAAGTTTCGGATTATTTAAGCGTTTCGCGGGAATATTAAGTCATTCTAGGTCGGTCAGTCTTATGTTTGACCACTTTTATTGCTGTATTTGTTGAAATTTTGGTATTTAACTCCCTGTAAAATATCATTACGATCATTAATTTTTCTTTGTGAGTAGTAGTGCGGTCAGGTTAGTTTACCCTTTCCTCTGGGTATTGTGCTGTTGCATTACTTGAGGAATACGCTTTCAGACAAAAAATTTTTAAGCAAATAATCGCAGGCTCAGCGGTATTTTAAAATTATTTATCTTGTGGAAGAGCACTCAATGTTATTATAGTGTTTAATATATAATCTATACGAAAAGCGAACGGTAATTGGATAGCAATGTGTAAGAGGGTGTAACTGTTGTAAACGATGTATACGCTATGGTTCAGCCTTTTTACTTCCGCCAATTGTAATTGAAATAATGTATGGAAATTTAATATATTAAAGTTCACACGGCAACCATTTTCTCCATTTCTCCATTCCTTCACCAAACACTTGTAGACCATCTTGAAAACTATCGTAATATGAGTAAGTCGAAGAAATGTAACACGGCCACGAATAAAGCACCAAATATTAACGTTAGCAACATACCATGATTTTAAAATGTCAAGAAATTGGAATAAAATATTTATGCACCGAATTGCAGTGTTTTTTTTCCCGCCTTTGCAAGCAATTTTAAACGAGGCAGGGGGTGGCTAGTCTTCCATGTACGTGTATGCTGATGCGTGACGGCATAAATAAGACATACCGGTAAGTGAGTTGTTGTTCGTGTCTCTCCGGATTTAACAGTTTCTCCAAATTGTTACTGATATTTTCAGGTAAGTGGGAAAACTGATTTTGAAAATAAAATCTTTATTTTAAGATCTTATTCCTTAATAGAGTTAGAACCGTGAAAATCTGCTGTACAAAAGGATAGATGCGTTGTGTTGCTTAGCAACAAGGAATAGAGAGAACGGACAAAATGGCGAATGTCACAACACCCGGTGGCTTTTCGACTCCTTACAACACAGGTACCCAATTTTAGTTTAGTGATACGGTTTGTTTTAATAGTAGAAGCATTCTTGTATCTTTAAGCGTTAAAACATGCATTACCTGTGAGCTTTTGTGTATTACATGGAGTTTTCTATTTTGTTGTTCAAGGTTGTGGTTTACTATCTTAGAAATAATTTCGCCGCAATTGCAGATAATTACAGATAAATCTATCACATGCAGTGTTGACTGATTTTAGGGGATGAGAAATTCTTCACATTAATGCGAACTATAAGAATTTCACTAACCTAGACAGTTATCATTTCTGCCATTATGTAAGAGCTATTTCTTAGTTTTACAATTTTAAGCCTCCAAATGTTGTATGCTTTGTGATCCGAGTTAACGGATACGACATACGTGCTTCTGTTGCCTTAAGCTACTGTGCTAGACAGTTTTTAGAAGATGAAACCTCATTAAACGAAACTAAACTAACTGCAAAATACTCTAAACTCCGAAAAGATTAAATCTGAAACTACATGTACAAATACCACAAGATTGTTATACCTGGCGACTCTGTTTACATATTGTACGATTACAAATTAATAATTAGCAGCACATCCTTTATGCTCGTTCCACATTCCGGTGTTTTGTGGTTACCGATAATTATGGTTAATAACTGTGGTTTCAGTTTTGTTGTTGGTTGATCTATCGATGTCAACTGGCTGACTGCTAAAGATCTCGTACCATAATTCATAAGTGTAGCATAGCTACACAACAGAGTGTGAAAATGATGCTTGTTGTTGACTTACACACATAAAGCAAACACTGTCCATGCAATTACAAGCTTCATAAGTACACTGTACATGGACACTGTCCTGTTAGGGCTCAAATCAGGCTGATGATAACCAATCATGTCTGAGAGTTTTGTTATAGTTTTGATTAATGATGATATTAGGATGAAGTGGAGTCCAATTCAGTCTGTACTCATATGAGTGATTAACAAAATTGGACTCACACTTTGCGGTCGTCCAATTTGTTAATCATGAGACAGTATGATTATATAGACAGAATTGGACAACACAAAGTCCTGTTACCAATTAATCAAAACTATGACAAAATTTGAGAAAGCAACTAGACATCGGTTATACATTTTCATTAAAAAAATTGTTAACTCTGCAAGATTTAAGACAACAGCATGTGCACATGGTGTGTTCTGTCCTCTTACATAGGCATGAGGCGTTAATTGTCCCTTTAACTGTCCTATTACACTATACATGCAATTACAAATTACACGTACACCATCTTATTAGTGCTCCAATTGGGCAGGTGATAACCATTCATGTTTAAGGATTTTGTTATAGTTTTGATTAGTATGTGTATTGTACTTGCTGCTTCAGTGTATTTAGACCAGTGTATTAGGGTTTATTTTCATCAGGAATAAAGTCCTATGTTTTTTACTTATTTTCATGATATAGATATTGGGTATTTATAGTTTCTCAAATTTGTTTTTATATTTATAGTTTCTCAAATTTTTGAGTTAGAGTTAACAAGACCTTAAGTGCTGTTTAATTCTGTCTTCAATCATACTCATGTTAACCCTTTAACTCTCATAAGTGACCAAGAAAGAATTTCTCCTTACAATATCAAAACAATATCAAGCAGACAAGTGATGAGAATAAGAAAAATATCAGTTAGGGGATTATAAGATGATCCAATAATAAATCCTCCAAACTAACATCACAAGAACTGTATAGGAGATAGTAAGGAGAATTACTAATGAGATCTTGGGAGTTGAAGGGTTAAACAAATCACTGACTCAAACATGAGGGTCAACTGATTATACTAATTATTAAAATAATGGTAGATTGAATTAGACATAACTCAGTCCTAATACTATTATAAAATGATGCTAGACAACCAGGTTTTGCTCAGTACAGCTTTTGAGCATAGTGCATTTACCCTTAACACACTAATGACAGTATGCATAATTATTCTCCAAACTGTTTTCTATTTGTTTAACATTATTGAGAGTCTCATAAAGTTGATTGATCATTTCCTTTATTCTTGTGTCCTTAATGTTTGATTCAGGGATGATATTGTAAGGAGAAATTAGATGCTAGTCTATCTTAGGAATCAAAGGGTTAAAATAAGATTTTTTTTTTCAGTTGCAGGCAGTGTGTCCCCAACCAAAGCACATGGAGCAGAATTCTTTGCTGTGGCATCAGGGGTTCAGATTCCTTATGTAGGAAGAGATGAAACTGGACTCAATGTTAGCAGAATTAGCACACCTCCATTTTCTGAAGAATATCCCTCAAGACTAGCTTATAGCTCTTCAGCTCCACTAGCACCACAGCTCTCAATCCCTCAGCAGCCCAAGGTATCAACTAAGGGACAGCCCCTAGCCAAACTTGCAGATGTGTTTTCTCAGTTTCACCCTGTTACTGACAAAAGTAGCAAGGACATAAGCAAATCCTATTTGAAGAAAATTAGCTCAGGGCTAGCCTTTAATGAAGATGTGTTACATGATCGTGCACCCCATACATTACCTTATAAGGAGGATGAGTTGAATGTTTTATTCAGAACTGGAGGGTTAAGCCATGCTAAAGGAAACATAGTTGGAGTTGTTGGACGCCATGACCCACGCGGCGCTGTAAGAAAGCATGCTTTGTGCCACTTGAAGGGACCCAAGAAACTTAAACCCTTGAGACGATCAAAAACAACACCAGCGTCATGTGTTACTGATAAAGGAAAGCTCATTTCAGCAACATCTAATGTGAAAGGATCACTATCGTCTACAGATAAATTAGCATCAAAACAACCATCAAAGCATGAATGGGATGAATTTGTCCTGGCTTGCTTGAGCAAATCAACAGCTCAGTGGATTATAAATGAACAGTCATCAGGGAATGACAAGGATAGACTTAGAAGCTTTTTTGAAAAAAGGATCAAGGAAAAAGAAGACGAGCTACATGTAGCATCAGACAATTCCCTGGCACCAGATGCAGACGAGAGAACACAGACCTCAGCAAAGAAAGAGCCAAAAGCAAAAAAGTCACAGCAAGCCCTAGAAACTCATTACACTCCCTCTTTCACTCTTCCTTCTTCTGTAGGGAGCAAGAAACTCCAAAGTGAGAACATATTTCAGCAGGAATTGCTTGGTGGTGCACAACCTGTTCCTTCCAAAAAACCTTCAGAATCCAGTTATATTGTGCTTGATACCAATGAGAAACTCAAATTCAAGAAGCAATTGCAGGAAAATTATCCCAAGGAATCCAAGGTTTGGTATTCCAGTGAGAGAACATCTGGAAAGAAAAAAGTGAGATCACATCAGAAACCCAAAAAGTTGGTGAAAGGGTTACAACGATGGCAGGAACTACCAGTAGTTGTACAGGTATATGCATGACTGTTGTGGTTCAAATGTCTTCTAAGTTTAGAATTTTTTTAAGCAGTTTCCTTATATACATGTAATCCATTGTCTTGTGTTCATCTTATCTAATAATCTGACACAAAGGAACAGAAAAGTCAAACTGGTGTGAAAAGTTTTAAACCGAGAAAACAGGCCACATAAATTATTAACTGCTCTCCTGTTGATGTCAGTGAGTCAATGTCTCAATATTTTATTTTGTCGATGCTTTCACCCAAGATATCATTTAGTAATTATCCTTACTCAGTCTGCCATATAATTCTTTTTATGTTAGTTTTGGAGGATTTTGTTTTGGATCAACTAATAATCCCCTAATTATTATTTTTCTTTATTCTCAACACTGTCTGTTTGATATTGTATTGATATAGTAAGAAGAAATTCTGTCTTGGTCACTCGTGGGAGAAAGGGTAAAATTATAATATTTTCATTCTTCTGGAGTTATTTTAATCTGAAAGATATACCCATTAATTTTTGTTTGGGTATAAATTTAACCCAATGAAAACTCAAAATTAATATTCTGCTTCAAATTTTTGTATATTCTTCAGGATGATAATTATGTGCCTGTCATGAAAGACTCCAATGTTGATGTAAAAGCCTTGAGTAATGCTTACAGGGAAAAGAAAAAGATACGCGATGACTCAAATGTGGTCAAGATTGGTAAGAAACAGAAGTTGTTTTTAAATTTGTTGAAGCAAATAACAATTTCATGTAGTTTGGATTCTACAGATTAAGTTTCAAAGGAAGGATATAGAGTGTTGCCTGCAGTGTGCAAATGTAGTTTCTGGGTTGTATCATTTTAAGACCTCCAGAAATTGCACAGTTGATGATGCATGCACAATCAAGGTGATTGGGTTCTCCAAAAAGTATGCGGAAGTGTGCATGTTTTATGTAGGTCATAAAAGAGGTTTTTTAATAGCAAATTGTTTCTCTAAATCTAACCATATGATCTACATTTAACCTGATTTTTTAATGTTATTAATTGTACATCAACATTGATCTTCAGAGGATGTGTCATCAAAATCTGAAATATGAGCTGATAACTGAGAACCAATCAGAACACTAGAGATGCAAAATCCGTAGTGACAATTTAATAAAAAAAAAATTAATACTTTTGTCCTTATACATGTATGTTGTTTTTTTTTTTCTTTTCCAGTGGAGGAGTGGAGATCCAAGTGGTTTCTAGAACGTCGTTGGCAAAAATGTGGGACAGATGAGCTTATCAAGGCTATGAATGACATCAATGACCATGTTAGACTGGCAGCAGTGTCGGCGTGCAGTAAGGCCGCTGAGCTGCGACAGATCAAAAAGGACAAGCACCATCTAGGTAAGCATACCTTACATGTATGTGTAGCTGTCCCAACCCCTGTGTGGAAATTTTGGATGTGTTGTCTCACAGGGATGCTGTAATAACCAGCATCTACTGCTACACCTTTACCAAGTACAAAAATCTAAGAATATTATATTTTTTTTAGTGTTCTGATGGTTTTGATAGCTCTCAAAATCTGTAAAATCAATTAGAAAACCACTTTTAAATGCCAAAGGAAACATACAAGTCCAGTTCAACTAAAATCCCAAGTCCACTTTTTTTCGTAAGTGCGAAAAAACATATAACGTCATTAAAATTTTAAAAATTTGGATTAACCCACTTGAACCAACCAACCAGTTTGAACTAAAAAAATGAAACAAGGTTCGTAATTGCGTGTACCAGGGTGTAAGTGCCAACTAAGTTCTTTCAAAGTTTTTTATCAATTACATAAATGCAGAAAGGTTGCAACATTTAGACTTGTGCAAAATAACACATACTACAAATTGGGAAGGAGAATCTTAGGAATGATTTAAAATAATGTTTATTTCATTGATATATTTTCTCTTTATTGTGTAGGGATTGTTCTGGACAAGTCAAAGACACCAAGCCCACCGTTGGAAGCAGTGTTGGAACCTGAACTCATAGAGACTATCACAAAGCTGTTAGACGACAGAAACTCGCAAGTCAAGGTTGCTGCTTCTATTACACTGTATTCACTGAACAGACCCAGTGACAAGGTAAATACCTTTTACCCTTAAACAATGAATGATTACCCTTGGGTTGGAGAGGCATCAGATCTTGATTAAATAATACATGTAATTCTTGAGTTGACAAGATAGAAGATGGTGTCATTATAACTACAAACATTGCTCACTCTTGAGAGATACATGCACCCATAGGATAAAAATTTTATCCATGCGCAGCGGTGTAGTATTCTCTATTTCACTTTAGAGGGTACAGCTTTTTTACCTGCACCAGCTGCCCGGCAGATTACCCGCACCACATCGGTACTGTGCAGTCAATGTTATGGCGTGATTGAAGCGTCTGCTGTTGATAGTGTCTGATAATTTAATATAAGAACCCTGTGGTTGTTGTCAATTTACCTACATTTGTATGAGGATCATTTTGTTATTCATTGAAATCTTATAAATCACTTATCAGGCTAAATCCATTCTTTTATGGGCCATGGAGCACGGAGGCCCCCCTGAAAAGTGGGCAGCGACACAGTGCTTAGCGCTGAGTGGAGTAATCACAGATAAAATCATCGTTGAACTTGTAAATCACCTGCATGCTGATAACGCTGTGAGAACAGAAAAGGCAGGAACTTTGTTAGCAAAGCTGAGTCAGCAGTCGGTGAGTTTTCAGAGTATAATTGGTGTAAAGACGTTTAGTTATGAAACTTCAAATTCTGTTGGATAAATTTTGTGTTTTCTGTAAGTCATTAAAATGTTATGAAGAAGGAGTACCTATTTTAATAATAAATCTGGTAGAGCTGAAAAGAGTACTGTATGTGCTATTCAGCTTAAAGATAAGCGATCTAAAACTTCCGAGTAAAACGCGTATAGTACGTGTATTAGACTAAACTGTGGGTCCTGTGACTACTCATATATTAACTCGTGTATACGTGAAAGAGAAATTGTAACTTAACCATTTTATTTGATAAAAACTATAAACTGGATACATATTGCTTTGTTCTTCGAACAACCCTTGAAGTAAATAACATGTAGATCTTTTTTTTTCTTTCCTTTTTGAAGGATGTTGTTCAGTCGTTGATTGCGGAATTGCTAAACAGCAATAGCTGGAAAGACCGTGTAACAGCTTGTGCTGTTATTCCGAAACTAAAGGGAGGAGTTAATAAGGTTTGCTGTGCTTAAATTAATTGATCTACAAACTTATGGTTTCTTATAGCGGTTTATAGATTTAAAATTTCTGATGTTAGTGGAAAACTCAGAAACTATGAACACCACAAATATTTTTGGGATTGTGATTTTGTTTCTAGGGAAGCGCTAATCACGCAAACAGGAGAACGCGAACGCCAAGGGTAATTTGTTTGTGGTTCAGGTTCGCTTGCGTTTCATGACCTTTATAGTATTTAGTAGATACACAAATGGTCTGTCAAAATCAAAGCAAAGTGTTCACGTTTTTCTGAGTTGCACCGTAAAACGTCTCAAGTACATGTGCTTTTGATGAGTAGCTCTCTAGGAAACATTCACGGCTGATGCACATGCATATAATTAATATATGTAGTGCGTTTTTGTGCGTTTTTCGGTCAACGTATATCTGAGCGATACTGTAGATGCCATCAGAAATCTGCAAACTCAAGAAGAAAGTTGTTATAGTCTATTACTAGAAGTCTGTAAATTTTAGCCTCATTTTCGAGAAATTGTATTTTGGGCATTACGTTCCTTGGTATGCCTACTTGTTGTTTGTCTTGAGCTTAATTTGTATGAAAACGGATGATATTCGGACATTTCCTGCTCCTACAAAATTAACCGCGGCATGAATAAAGCAAAATGTACCATAAAGACACCCTGTAATTAGTAGCTGCCTGTTCAGGGTGTCATTCAGATTAATTTCCTTTGTTAAACGGAACATAAAATCATTGTTACTGTAATTTCGTTGGTAGGATATGACTCAGAAGCTGTCTTATCTGATGTGGAATGATTGGAACAAAGATGTTCGCTCAGCCGCTGCACAGGCTCTCGGGAGAACTGGAAATGGCAAGGTACACGTAATGTAAGCTTTGCATGATGTTTGGAGGTGGCCGAGCGATTTGAAACATAGGACGAGGACAGAAATCCAGCCAAGCGCATACCCCGCTAACTTAAGTTTTCCAAAACCGTCTTAGCGTAGTTCATGGGCACGAAAAAAGTTCTCTGTAATCGCTACACTTTCCATTGTGTCCGTAATCGATTTGTTTTAAAGAGTACATGTACGTGTAAATGGACTGTTGGTAAAAAGACGTCATTCAAGATATCATTTCGCCAAGCGCGTTCCTAATGAGACGATTTCTCAGGAGATCCCAAGAATATCACGTGATAATTTGTAAAGACATTGATTGTTTTATTCTACGATGGCCCTGAATCTTCTTGTGGGTATACTTATCCGTTGTCCCTCTAAAATGCCAACGCTGTATGATTGAGAGAGATCACCTTATGATACTTCCAAGACCTGCAGTATCTGAAATCAACTCACGAGAGGCAATGTCGAACAGACACTAGACCCAGTTTGAGATTTCCATGAGGGAATGCGTGTTTGAAACTAACTGTTTCTAATTTTCTGATTTATTTTGTAATGCAGGCAAAGAGTATTTTTCCCATATCTTTGAGCCCATGATGTCGAAACATAAGTTGCTTTGAACAGGAATGGGCTTTGAATTATCGTCTGAGATAGTTCTCTCGTTAACTGTGCTGGAAAGTTGGTTTCCACTGCGTTTCGTTGGAGGCACGACTCAGAATGTTATTTTTCATTTGGGGCTGATAAAATCTGTAACTGTTTTCCTTTTTGCACAACAGCTTGTCCATGATGCACTGCGTGAAAGAATACTCACCGGAAACGAGCGGATTAAAGTGGACGCTTTGAAAAAGGTAGCAACTTGCCTTCATATCGTTTTAGTAGGGGTGTTTGGATTGTTGATAACAGCGGCATTTAATCGAATTAATCTGTGTAATTCCAAGCAAAATTTATCTTTCACCTGGTAAATTTATTTCACTTTGACTCTAATTGTTACTGGTATTAGTGTTAAGGGCAAATCAAAAGCAATCCTAGACTACTTTCAACGCTCAATTGAAAATTGCTCGAAAACCAATCGCGACTTGCTCATTTGCGTGTCACATTTGCTTACTTTTAGTTTTCATAAGCTTCTTCAGATACTTCTCTATATTCTGACAGTTATGTACACCCTGTACTTTGGTTTTTGTTTCACTTCTCACGATTGAAAAAGGCTTTATTTGCGTGTTCCATTACATGTTGTGTTATTTCTCTCGCAGTTGTCAAACCTCGGCATAATGACGGCCCGTCTTTTGCCAGCCTTACAGGAGTGCTTTAAGAGTGAATATGTATCTGTTAGAATCGAAGCTGCTATGGTATGTGATACGTGAGAGACTTAAATTTCCCTAATTGAGGCTGTAGGGTACTTTATCTCTCTGCAAGTGTTCTAGGTTGTTTTCTTTAACGTGTCAGCTTTATGAAAAAAAAAAACCTATTTGTAGAGTCAGATTTATGGAGATGACTTGCAGTGAAAATTTAATATGAGCAGCTGTGGAAGACAAGCCATCTCGTGGATTTGCTACTGATGAAAATCCAGTTTTTTCTCCAGCTACAGGTTTTTAAGGGAATACCTAGTGAGGCCAGTTTTGTTTCATTTGACTTGATGGGCACAATACTAGTAGAAAGAATGAGAGTGTAGTGTTCACGTTAAAATTAATAGTCACATGTTATCCTTCTTGGTTCCTTGATTTGTTTGAGTTTATTGCGATGTAACTCGGTTTCGATTATCCTGAGCAAGAACGCCCTAACTTTCATTGTGCATGTACACCTGTAGTAGATCTCTTAAGATTCTCCTGGTACTCAAGTTTCGTAGTGAACTTGCTATGTGACTGTAAAGTTGTATGTGTCATTGGATCTTTTGCTCTTCAGGCCGCCGGTAAGCTGAATATCACAGATAAGGGTGTACTAAGTTCACTGCTTCGTTTGGCGAGTGACGACAATAGCTGGAAAGTCAAAGCACATACAATAAAAGGTGAGAAATCAGACCCCAGTTGTTCGAAGGCTGAATAACGCTATCCACTACTTAAATCGCTATCTGGAATAGCGCAGCACGTTTTGTTAACACTTCCGTATCCGTTGGATAGCGTTATCTGCCCTTTTATCCAAGATCTCGAAGTTAAGAACTTCCAGCAAGAGTGTAAAGTGGTTCACAAACTCTCGTATCCTATTGCTTGGCGAGATTTTTTTGCCTTTTGCTCAGCAGGTTCCTAAAGAGTATAGATCATTGGTGATTCAAACACTTACTCCTTACAATATCAATACCATATTAAGCGGACAGGCGATGAGGAAAAAGAAAAGTATCAATTAGGGGATTATTACTTGATCCAATAACGAATTCTCCAAATAAACATCGTATGAATTGTATGGCAAACAGCAAGGAGAATTACCCATTAGATCTTGGGAGTGAAGGGTCAGTTAGAATCGGTCGTTGCATCCTCTTTATTTTCAGTACATATAATGAGATCCATTCTTTTCAAACTTCAGTCCTCGTTATTTCTTTTTGTCAATGGTTATTTTTGTTTGAATTTATCAGTGAATACGAGAGAATTTTTTTATAAGTAATATTTTATTTTGACACGGCAAGGCAACATAAATTCCAGGTGTAAACGCCTCTGACAATGAGCTCTTAATTTCATTGTGTGAACCTTAGACATCTTAACGTCAGTATGCACATTCTCTATGCTGTTCTCTATGCATTTCCTAAGGCGCTGAAAAGAAGAATTTGTTCAACAATCAAAAGCTTCTTTAGTTGGCGATTATTTCTTTCATTCTCGTGACCTTAATGTATGAATCAGGGGCGTAATGTAGGGAGAAATTAGATGCTAGTCACTCTTAGGGGTCAATTGGTTGAAGTGAAGGTAGGCTTATGTGTGTCTTAGAGGGCTTGAGACAGTCCGAACTCACAGTCTTGCCCTTGCCTTTCTTTGGTCGGATCAATATCAGTATCTGGGCAACTGCCCACCTACCCCTCCCCTAACCCAACATTAACCTTAACTTGTTGTCCATTGACTGTTGTTGAGTTAGGGGAGGGATAGTGGGTAGTTGCCCAGATACTGATATTGATCCCTTTTGTCTTACTTAGCCTTGGGGTCTATTGGAGTGGTCGATGAAAAGCTTATCGAGGTTCTGTTGTGGGCCATTCGTTATGAGAAGGTTGCCGCTGTACGCGCCGAGGCCTGTAACGCTGTAGCAGTGCTGGGCTTGAGAGATGAGCGGTTGCTTAACGTCCTTCAAGATCGCCTTGTTGTTGAGACCGAAGAAATTGTAAAGAGGTGAGAAAGTGTTTGTGATCTGCGCTGGATTATAAATGTTAAACCATGACAGTCACTTGTAGTAACCGCCAAACGGAAGTGTTTTTACTGCAGCTATATCTTGAAAACACTCTATGGAAATGCCGCACATAAGATAAAAATAGGGAATTACATCTTATCTTGATGCTTACTGCTTGGATTTGCTCTGATTTTGAGAGACTCTGCTTGAAGATTCAGTTTCTTTGTCCATAAAATGTTTTTGAGCGGCAAAGCTGGTAGATGGCACTCCTTATCAAATGAAAACCTTTTTGCGTTACGATTTGCAACAGTTTTATTTGTTTGTTTTATTTTATTTGTATGTGTATTTGTCCCTGTAAAGCAAACTCGTTTTAAGACTGCTAATATCTGGATGAGTGCTACTAGAGAAATTCTGACTCTTATACTCAGAGAAAATCTCAGGCATTCAGATTTTAAAATTCCTGTTATCTTCCTTATTTTCAGAGAGGCGATCATCACATTGGAATCATTGGGTGTGGAACCAACTGGAGACCTAGAAATGGTGGAAGCCATCAGAAAAGAGGTCAGGCGATTATGTCGCAAAGACGCCATTGTCGCGCACATTTTACACGAAGATCACTCAGCTGAATACACTAGCGACTACAAACGTTTGTTCACCACTGACAATGTAGAAGGACTTCCTACGCGTGTAGCGTCACGCGCCACGAAACAAGGTTCACGAGCGGTGTCACGGGCGACCAGCGATTCCTCGCGAGGATGGGATCCAATACTAGCTGGTTATCAAGCGCGAGAGAGAATGTCCCGAGCACCAACCCCTGGTGATCTAGTCATGAGGCGCTCATTTTTGCCGTTGGACTTAAACAGTACATCATCTGAGAACAGCGTGGACATGAACTTGGAGACATGGGACGAGTTGTCCGAGAGTTCTGTGGACGAAGGGGAGTCTGGAAGCGAGACAGACCAGGATGAAGTGCGAGAGGAAGACACTGATATAAAAAACGAGAGAGATTTTCAAATCGAGAAGGGGATTCAATCGGTCGATGGAGGTGCTACCATCGCTAGTGTCACTTCACCGTCGAAGGTCGAATTTTCGGATGATCGAGGAGTTGAAAGTGCTTTGCCTTCGGCTCTCCAGGATGGAAATGGCGACCAAGATGGCGACACATTTTTTGAGCTCGAATCAAATAAGGACGATCCCGAACTTCTTAACCTTGCCGACGAAATCAGTGAACATAACGTTACTTCGTCAAATGAGTACCGATCTGAAGGAGGCATAGAATCTAATACAGGTCCTGTACCGTCCCGGGGCTGAATTCTGACCTCATGGACTAACGATATAACGACGATTGAATTAGGTTTTGTGATGACAGTTTCTTATCTTGTTTAAACTTGCAGTGTTCCACGCTGGTGATCCCCAGATTCTCTAGTGCAAAGAATACTATTTTTTACGTCAACCGATTGTTCATGTTAATGTATATGTTATAACAGATTGATGTAAATAGAATGATGAATGATTAATTATAACATTATAAAACGATGCTGATTGTTACGTATTGGTTAGCCAATTAGACCCTGTCATCAATATGCAAATTCTCCATACTGTTCTTTATATATTTCCTGAGATGTTAGTCAGTCTTTAGGGTCAAAATCTTTGCTGTCCTCTCTTTATGCATTTCTGGAAGCCAAACCCGCCAATGTTTTATTGGATACAATACCCCAAAACCTTTGTGACGTAATCCTTCGCAAAATCATAATTCTGAAATAAGATTTCAATTTTATATCCAAGCCTTAACCCTTTCACTTTCAAGATTTCATTTGTTATTCTCCCTACTGTCTGCCATGCAACTCATGAGGTGTTAGTTCTGAGAATTTGGTATTGGATCAATAAATAATCCCCCTAATTCATTTTTCTTCATTGTCGTGACCTACCTGCTTAATATTGTATTGACATTGTAAGGAGAAATTCTGTCTTTGTCAGTCATGGGATTTAAGGGTTAGTGTTGACCCCAGCTCTCCTAGGTTAATATTGGGCTTTGTTTTCTTTGGTGGTTTATCATTGTATAGGAAGGGGGAGACCTGGGTATGATATCGAGGTGTCCTCGAAGTGGCTATGTAGAAACTCAGCGTCAACTAATTTCGTGCAAGGACAATTTATTCTCACATATTACGCAAATTTTGCTAAAATATTCGAACAGAGGAAATTCCCACACCCTCGTTCAGCAGACGACAATTGATCTGATTGCACGCAAATCTGTTTGAATATCATCCGTTCGTCTTGGCCTGTGAGAAAGGCAGTACCAAGGCTGTTGATTGGCAAGGGTAACTACACTCCTTGTTTAGGAATAAAGGAAAGAAAAAACATCGAACTAGAAGTTGTGAGCTAGAGTAAAAAAACTCTATCGTTGAAAGTGGCAGCTGGTCTTCAAATGTAATAAAGGAATTTTCTTTTGAGTGTCATAAAAAAGAAGCAAACCAAGGTTGTCACTGAGTAATTACGACTATTTGAAGGAAAAATTTGGTCACCGAACAGCGTTCTAGTGTACTGAAATTAATCCTTATACTTTCTGTAAATCTGGTAAAATTGGAAAAGAAGGCCTGTTGTGTCTGTGTACCTGATTAAGGCGCAGAACCTACAGCATTTACTCGAATAAGCGCCGCGGCGCTTGTTTTATTTTTGGCGTTTTAAGTGCGGCGCTTACCCGTGGGCGGCGCTTAATTGATAGTTGGACGCGACTCAAAAAAAGGCCGCATGGGTACTTCTCGTTAGTCCTTCGTTAGAGCGAGGGTTAACGCTAGAAACCTCGGCTTTAGAACCATTCATGTTGGCAAATTTTCATTATCAACTCAGTTGGTAAATCCGAGTCATCATATCAAAAAATGGTCCAATAATTTGTCTCAAATTAAGGAATTTTCTAACTCATGGCTAATTAAAAAGAATCACCCTTTTCATTCTAGGAGCTTTTCTTCATTTGAATTTCAGATATATCATTAATATTAATTTATTCTTAATTTTCCTATCACATCACGAGGGGTTGAAATGACATTTGAAAGAGAAGATGGCCGAATGTCGTTTAATAGCAGTTAGTTGTATGTCGATCGAAACATCGCCAAATAAACAATGGCGATGATGTGTATCACTCATATGTTCTTAAAGGTTATTCCATGGTACCCTGGTGGACAAGATGTGGTTTTGCTTTGCTCTGGTTTAACGTAACGTCGCTTTCCTGGTCAAGAACACGTGGGTTTTCAACGTCCAAGAACTGGACAAATATACTCGTTATGGCCCTTCTCAACAGGTATTTAACGACTGATTCTCTTTCCATTCTGTGATATGTTTGAATTATACCTTCAAATGATTGTAAAACTGATATTCTTCGTGGGACTTCTGGTCTGTCTTACTGACTATAAATAAAATATGGCTACCGCATGTTAGGCTAATTTGAATAATATGGCGGTATTTTAATACGTTGTAGCTTTTGGCCAAGGGTTGTTAGAGAAGAAACGAATTGTTTGATCGAGTGTAAGTTTGATTGTTATGGATAACACACCCAATGGTAAAATAAACTTTTCCGGTTAAATTTTGAAAATCGAGCAAGGTTTTTAGGCAAATTTACCCTTCATAATCACTTAACCTCCAAGATTTTGCGAATTTTTTTCTGAAAGAATGGTGATTAGACCAACGTTTACACATCTGTGTCAGAATCTATGGCAGAAGTTTTTACCTGTGAAATATTTCCGCATGGATGTTTGCAGTATAGATTCTATCAAACACTGAGGATATTCACGAAATATTTATTGTCATAATTTGTTAATGTTACATTTGTTAATGTAAGTATTTCTCTTCTTTTCCAAGGCATTTGTCGTTAAAAATGGCTGGGATCAGATTGCGACAGAATTGTCAAGTATGACAGATATACAAAGCAGCAGGAGGATAACATTGTCATGTTTGCAAGAGGTAAGTAAGAAAAGATTAACTATTATTGAAGCCTTGAAGGTTTTTTTAAAATTTAGCTAATACTGTTAACTCTTAACCATAACCATTACAGTTTCCTCAAATATGATAGGTGCATTAGCTGCTTTGTTTTTCACAAATCATTCTGAACAGCTGTAATCGGAAAGTGTAATTGGACAGTTGGCTGTAATCGGACACCTGTAGTTGGACACTTAGCGTTAATATCTCGCACGGTTTTAGGATTCTCTTTTATTAATTAATACGTTAGTATCTCGTGCACTTTTAGGATTCTCTTTTATTGATTGATACGTTAGTATCTCGCACACTTTTAGGATTCTCTTTTATTGATTGATACGTTAGTATCTCGTGCACTTTTAGGATTCTCTTTTATTGATTGATACGTTAGTATCTCGTGCACTTTTAGGATTCTCTTTTATTGATTGATACGTTAGTATCTCGCACACTTTTAGGATTCTCTTTTATTGATTGATACGTTAGTATCTCGCACACTTTTAGGATTCTCTTTTATTGATTGATACGTTAGTATCTCGTGCACTTTTAGGATTCTCTTTTATTGATTGATACGTTAGTATCTCGTGCACTTTTAGGATTCTCTTTTATTGATTGATACGTTAGTATCTCGTGCACTTTTAGGATTCTCTTTTATTGATTGATACGTTAGTATCTCGTGCACTTTTAGGATTCTCTTTTATTGATTGATACGTTAGTATCTCGCACACGATTAGGATTCTCTTTTATTGATTGATACGTTAGTATCTTGCGCACTTTAGGATTCTCTTTTATTGATTGATACGTTAGTATCTCGCGCACTTTTAGGATTCTCTTTTATTGATTGATACGTTAGTATCTCGCGCACTTTTAGGATTCTCTTTTATTGATTGATACGTTAGTATCTCGCGCACTTTTAGGATTCTCTTTTATTGATTGATACGTTAGTATCTCGTGCACTTTTAGGATTCTCTTTTATTGATTGATACGTTAGTATCTCGTGCACTTTTAGGATTCTCTTTTATTGATTGATACGTTAGTATCTCGCGCACTTTTAGGATTCTCTTTTATTGATTGATACGTTAGTATCTCGCGCACTTTTAGGATTCTCTTTTATTGATTGATACGTTAGTATCTCGCGCACTTTTAGGATTCCTTTTATTAGATTGTTACGTTAGTATCTCGCGCACTTTTAGGATTCTCTTTTATTGATTGATACGTTAGTATCTCGCGCACTTTTAGGATTCTCTTTTATTGATTGATACGTTAGTATCTCGTGCACTTTTAGGATTCTCTTTTATTGATTGATACGTTACTATCTCGTGCACTTTTAGGATTCTCTTTTATGATTGATACGTTAGTATCTCGCGCACTTTTAGGATTCTCTTTTATTGATTGATACGTTACTATCTCGTGCACTTTTAGGATTCTCTTTTGTTGATTGATACGTTAGTATCTTGCGCACTTTTTAGGATATTAGGATTTTAGGATTCTCTTTTTTTGATTGATACGCTAGTATCTCGTGCACTTTTAGGATTCTCTTTTATTGATTGATACGTTAGTATCTCGCGCACTTTTAGGATTCTCTTTTATTGATTGATACGTTAGTATCTCGTGCACTTTTAGGATTCTCTTTTATTGATTGATACGTTAGTATCTTGCGCACTTTTAGGATTCTCTTTTATTGATTGATACGTTACTATCTCGTGCACTTTTAGGATTCTCTTTTATTGATTGATACGTTAGTATCTCGCGCACTTTTAGGATTCTCTTTTATTGATTGATACGTTAGTATCTCGTGCACTTTTAGGATTCTCTTTTACTGATTGATACGTTGGTATCTTGCGCACTTTTTAGGATTTTAGGATTTTAGGATTCTCTTTTTTTGATTCATACGCTAGTATCTCCTGCACTTTTAGGATTCCCTTTTATTGATTGATACGTTAGTATCTCGCGCTCTTTTAGGATTCCCTTTTTTTGATTGATACGTTATTATCTCGTGCACTTTTAGGATTCTCCTTTATTGATTGACACTTTAGTATCTTGCGCACTTTTAGGATTCTCTTTTATTGATTGATACGTTAGTATCTTGTGAACTTTTAGGATTCACTTTTATTGATTGATACGTTAGTATCTCGTGCACTTTAGGATTCTCTTTTATTGATTGATACGTTAGTATCTCGCGCACTTTTAGGATTCTCTTTTATTGATTGATACGTTAGTATCTCGCGCACTTTTAGGACTCCTATTATTAGATTGTTACGTTAGTATCTCGCGCACTTTTAGGATTCTCTTTTATTGATTGATACGTTAGTATCTTGTGAACTTTTAGGATTCACTTTTATTGATTGATACGTTAGTATCTCGCGCACTTTTAGGATTCTCTTTTATTGATTGATACGTTAGTATCTTGTGAACTTTTAGGATTCACTTTTATTGATTGATACGTTAGTATCTCGTGCACTTTAAGGATTCCTTTTATTAGATTGTTAAGTTAGTAACTCGCGCACTTTTTGGATTCTCTTTTACTGGATTGTTACGT